CGGAAGGATCATTGACACGTGAGCGACCGATCTGCGGGGTGTGGAACGCTGGCAGCCTCTCCCTTCCGCCGCCCTTTGCCCCCATCCTGCCTACATCTGCTTTTCTCTTCCGGTTCAGCTCCATCTTGGGCTTAGTGCCCAGCTGGGGGCTGGCCCGGCGCAGAGGGGCTGTGGTGTAAGTGAGGGGTGGGGGAGTGGGCAGGATCCGGAGCCTTGTGGTGTTGCTCCCCCGTCATCCCATCTCGCCTCCGCAGGGTGTTACCTCGGTTCAACCCCATTCTCGACTTCTGGTCGAGATGGTGGTTGGTCTGGGGACGGACAGCCCTGGAGGAGGGTCAGGGCCGGGATCATGGGTGGTGGCGGCTGTCCTTGGCCCACATAGCCCCCTCCCGTCTCAGCTTTGTCCAGACCTCCTTTTCATTCAGCTTTAACCTCGGCTTCGTGCAGAGCTTGTGGCTTGTTTGGGGATGGAGGGTCATGGTAGAGGCTAGGGGCGGGGGTGTGTTGTGGGGTCCAGGGCCCTCGTCCCCTCTCCGTTTCATCCTTGCTTCCTTTCCAGCGGGTCCTCCTTTCTGGACAGATCGGGGTTCTTAACACTGTCGAGCTGGTCTGAATCTCGGGGTGGAGGGCTGTTGGGGGAGGGTTTGGGTCGGGAACGACAGGGGTCGGGCGGGAGGGGAGGAGACAGCGCTTGCACTCTCGCCGGCCCCCTGCTCCCTAGAGGCTTGCCTCCCCCCCGAACAGGGGCCAGGATGGGGCCGTGGGAGTGGTGGTGGCGACGACTTCGCAACTTCATATTGATATACCTGCTCTGATTTGTCGCTGTCCGGGTTGACGGCCCCCTTCTCTTCTGGGTAGGGGGTCGGTCCTGTTGGAACAGCACCATACTGTAGAACTCTCTGCAAATGAATATCTTGGCCCTCGCAACGATGAAGAGCGCAGAGAAATGCGATACTCAATATGAATTGCAGAAATCCGTGAGCCAGCAATACCTTGAACGCGCGTGGCGCCCAAGGCTTCTGCCGAGGGCACGACCGGCTGAGCATCATTGGATTCCTCATGACCTCAGCACCTTCTGCTTCGAAGTGTGGTGGGGTCCATGGTAGTGGCTTTCCTCTCTCCCAATTTGGAGAGCGTTGATAGCCTAAAGTGGAGAGGAAATGGAGAACATTCCAAGCGGGCCTGTGGGGCTGCAGCCTAGAGTGGTGTGTTTCGCTCCACCCTGTTGTCGCCCTGCAGCACCTGTTTGTGGGTGGTGGTCTTCGTTTCGTGGAAAACGGCACGTAAGGTCCTGTCTCTGGTTTGTGTGCTCGCCGCCTTCCGTTCGCTCCCATCGGCTAAAGGTGGGCTTGCGATTGTCGGTGTCGGGTTCGAGCTGTGGAGGTAGGTTGGCCTTGCCTTCTGATCTCACGTCGGGCAGGAGCACCTGCCCAATTTAAGCATGTAACTAAGTGGAGGAAGAGAAACCAACAAGGATTCCCTTGGTAGCGGCTATCCGGGGCCTTTGTTGCTCCCTGAATTGTAGTCTTGAGGACCAGTTGGAAAGCGTGGGTCGGATTTTCTAGGAAAGAGGGAGATGTTGGAGAAGGGGGATGTTGCAATAGACAGGGCTGGGGGAGGAGGGGGAGGGGGGGATGGTGTGGTATGTTGAGCTACCTGGGTTAATTTGAATCGGGGAAGGAAAGGACGGAAAGCGGCCAATGTTGGGGTTGGGAAGGCCTTTGGGCAGTGTGTTTAGATCAGGATGGGGACGAGTTATGGGTTGGGCAGGGAGGGGGGGTTATATAGGTGACGAGCGATGGGGGGTGCTATGAACGGATCTGCATAAAAAGGGGTCAGGAGAAATCGGGACAGGTGGCTTGATGGGTCTGGCCAGAGGGAGTAGGTGGCTTGTGTATCTAGAATGGCTCGGCGGAAAAGATAACTCGTCTTAACCGGTTTAAGTGGGGCAATGAGACGACTGGAGGAGTTGACAGATCGGGTGTCTGGGTCTGCTCCGAGGTTATTGAACAGATTTGGACTGGTGAGGTACTTGAATCCGTAAGTTCGGGGCAGAAGGCTATGCAAATTCCATAAAGCCAATCACTCCGTAAGTATATCGAGAGCCATTTCCATCACAGCGACAATTGGAGGGGAGTGACACGTGATTGGCAACAGATTAAGAGGAAGTCAATGGGAATGAGGGGAGGGGGAGGGAAAGGTTTGTCACAAGTACAGCGAGGTGGAGGAGAAGCAAAGCCTGTTCGGGGTGAGGTACCATTGAGGGAGGTTATGGGGCAGACAAAGTGGGTGTGGGTAGAGGAGAAGAATGGCGGGAGAGAGGTGGTTCGCCAAGCCGCACGCATGTGTGTGTCCAGGGAACCCTCTCAGCGGGCATTGACGGTAAGGATAGGTGGTCACTGGGGAATGAGGAACGTGAGTGCAAGGTTGGGAAATGATTGGCTGGAAGATGGGAAAGCTTCCCGATTCTAAGGAAGAGGTGGATGCAGGGCGCTCGGAGTACTAAGGCAGCGAGATTGTGGGGGCATTGTCCTCATGTATGGGGACGGATGCGTGGATATACACTTGACGGCTGTCCGGGTGTAAAGAGGGAAACTAGTTTTGCCTTAGCTGAACAGACGCTCTATCTGTCCGAAAAGGTCACAAGAAGAGGGAGGAAAGTCAAAAGGGGAGGGGCAGGAGGGCCACGTGTGGTTAGGCGAGTCACCAACAAATACTGGGTAATTGCATTTGTGTTTGTCGTGAAGAGGAATCTTGTTGCTGGTGTAGGGCTTGGCGACGCTCCGGTTTGTGGCTCATGTGGCATGTGCAAGCAATGGTGCGACCTCGACTGTGAATGTTGACTTGGGGAATCCTCTCTTCTTGATTCATCGTGAAGAGGAGCCTTGTTGCTGGCGTACCACTTGGCGATGCTATGGGTTGCAGCTCACGTAGCATGTGCAAACGATGGTGGGACGTTGGCTATGAATATCGACTTGGTGAAAGTTGAAGCTTCTCTTCTTGATTGGCAGATCTGGGGAATGGCGATAAGTCCTTGCTTCCTTGTTGAATCGGCTGTCTGCTTCAAAAGGACGAAGAAGGATCAATGGCATTCGGCCTGTGGAGACGACGAGGCGCGCCAGGAGCACCCGCTCGGGAAGGGAGAACATCCTCCCCTCTGGCCGTGGCAACCTCCCTCATCGATAGTCCTCGCCTGTGTGTTCAAATTTACTTGATGGGGTGCCGCCGTGCCAGTGTGAACCACGCCTAGGAGCAAAACAGCGTCAGAAGGCAAGGGTCGGTACTACGCAGCGGAGTAACGCTGGGGCTTACAGGACAGCGCAGGTGTGTCCTAACTTCGTCTATTATTTTCAGACATTGGTTCTTGTTCATTCATTCCTTCATTCCTCCATTCCTTCATTGTTATTACATCTTACAATAAAGCCCAGGAGTTACATGAGGGATTGAGGTGGAGGGAAAAGGGGAGGAGAATTTGATCGAATTTTGTGTTCTTCTTTTCTTCATCCTCTTCTCGTCTTCGTCTCATTCCAGTTCTTCTTGAATTGCGATGGATGGCATATAGTAGAGGTCGAGTACAATCTCACAAGCTAGACAAAATTTCTGTAGGTATCTAGACAAATCCATCCACACCACTCTAGCAGAAAAACTCAACGAACTGATTTCTAACAAGGAAAGAAGCCCTTAGACAGTTAGACTCAATGAAACCAGGACAAACCTTGGGCCAAGACGGACTGTCCAAGGAATTGTGGGTGTACTAGGGGGAGAATACTGCAACTTCATAAGGAAGCATGGTCTCAAGAAGGGCCAGGTACATATCTCAGCACAAGGATAATCTCACTACTTTTACAAAAAAGAGGATCCCGCGGACATCAGAAATTACAGACCTATCACACTCTTGACGGTAGCATACAAGATTTTAGCCAAACTCCTAGTGAACAAAATCACCAAAATCACTAGAAGTTGTTTCCACATAGACCAAACAGGCTTTATAACAGGCAGGTTTATCCTAGACAATGTAATGGCACTAGCAGAATCAGTCAGATACATAAAGGACAAAACAATGAACATGGCCATACTATTCTTTGACTTTGAAAAGGCCTATGATCAAGTCAATTGGGACTTCCTTCAACAATGCATGGAAATAATAATAGGACCAAATTTTAGGAAGAGGATCAGAGTAATGATGTCCACGAGGCAATGCAAGTTAATGGCCACATCTCTAACATCTACAGGATGACCAGATCTGTAAGACAAGGAGATCCTCTAGCCGCCCCCATATCCCTCTTCATCACGGAAGCCATTGCTTCGTACCTCAGAAAAGATCCATCTATAGAAAGATTAATACTATTTTAATAGATGGAACGGGTGATCCCAACACAATCCACCACGTCCCACCCACAATAGCGTTCACTGATGATCTGACGGTCCTTATAAGAGCCTCCAACTCGTCCTTCGAAGCATTAATGAGAGCCATGCAAGCCTTCCAACTCGCCGCCGAAATGCGGATTAACTGGAAGAAAACGAGGATGGTGGCTTGTGGAGGAAAACATAGGCATACCCACACATCTACCCCGGAAGGGATGACTTTGGAAGATCCTAAAGACCCCATGCATTTCCTGGGAGTCCAGATGACACCAGCCAGCCTACTAGCCAACATGATAGATAAGTTAGGGAAATGGGCAAGGGTATACACGTCTCTCTATGGTCGGGCCGTAGTCCTCAACTGATCGGTCTTGATGTGGTATGTAGCTGCATTTTGGTATCCCGACCTTGCACTTAAAGGACCTCAAGAAGAAGGCGACAACATACCTATGGACCTGAGATCCATCCAAGCAACAATTCATAAATAAAGTGGTCTGGAAATACGGTACACGCAAAAAACACCAGGGAGGACTTGGTTGACAACTTCGGATAGCAGTTCATAACTGATGGATCGGTTATGAATCCAGAATGGTAATCATTTGCTCTAATCGAAAGGCCGAAACAAACCAGCTACATACCTCAAGATTCCAGGTCCTCATGAAGTTTGATGATCCATCTTGTCTGACAGTGTAGTAGTTGCAAATCAGCTGCACAGCACATATTCAACCAGCAATGCACAAGGTTGAATCCGGTGACATGAATGAGTTAGCAACGCACAGGCCAACGAAACTACAACTCTGCCACACATTTAACAGGAGACCTGAGAGGGGTTGCTGAGGCATGGTTCGGACTAACGGCTGCTGTTTTCTTTGTACTTGGCAAGTAGAAAACGCCAGGTATATCTTCTCTGATCTTATCAGTGGGAAGCTGGACCCGGTTTCCGGCAGGTGATGCTCCCCACCAATAGATCGGAGCCATCTATAAACTGGGGCTTGCTATTGGATGATGCTCGTATCAGCTCCAATAGCAGGTTTCCACAGGTAATTTTCCAAAAAAAAAAAAAAAAAAAAAAAAAAGATGGTTTTGCGACCTATGGCAAGGACTGACCAAGACGAATCTAAGAATCTAATAGGAATACAAGGCTTTTACCTGACAGTTAATCCTGCATAACAAGGAGTCACCAATGATGTTCAAGGGTTCCTTCAACGTATGGTGGTTGTGATATTTAAGGTTTGCTGGTGGAAAACCAACAAAATTCATGCTCCGTAGAATAGGAGGGAGGCAAGAAGGAGCTAATAAAGACACCCTCCGTCTAAAGTTTAAAGTGATGGACTAAGAATTCCATGGATCGTTCTATTTGAGAGCATGAAAGAGGACATTTCAATAATCCGCTTTGATCATGACCCTAGGCATTTGGACTACAAATTCTCTTCATACACCACACAAACTGATTAACAAGGCGACCATAAGTGCCTCGGCCCTTCGGTCTTCATCCCCTGCTATCAAATATCTACAATCTTCCAAAAGCATGGAGTGGGTCTCGCGCGATGGGCCCCCATGAGACCCATAATCGCGCAGGGTAAGGCTCCATCCCACCAGAGGGCCAGCAGTGGTCTAGCTCAACTGTTGAAAGTTGAAACACAAAAGTTGGAATCGAGATCCAATCAGACAGAAAAAAAAAAGCAAGAACATAGCAGGCGGTGGGGCTTGGAGAATCCTCGCGTTGTCCTGTCGCTTTTGTCGTTTTCAGGCAGTCCAGCTCAGTTGGTACACCTATGAACCGTTGAAATACAGACCAAAGTTCGAACCCAGATGCAATCAGATGAAACTGTGCCTGTCTTTTCCCCGCCCTGCCCCTCCACCCCTCCACCCCTCCACCCCTCCACCCCCAAGAAAGTGTGTCTGTTGTTTCGTGAGGCAGCAGTTTGTTTCTGTTGTTTCACGTTGCGCAGAGGCAGGTCCACTTATGTTGTTTTGTGAGCTGGCAGTGTCATTTTGTTCATGGTTCGTTTCTCATTTCTCCCGGATGTTCGAGCACAGCACATAGCTGGCCGATCTAGGCAGAAAGAAGCCACACGAGCTCAAATATGCGTTGAGGTCACCCCAAGAGGGTAAAAAGATCGTGTTGTTCTCTGAGGGCATACTCACACTAGCACTTTCCAAAATGCATCTGACTGGGATTACGGCCAGACCTGGATGACTCTGAAAGCAATCTCGGCCAGAGCTTTATAGAAAAAGTCCTAGTGTGAGTCTGCCCAAAGTTCTCTGTAGCAGGAATCAAGCTCAGGTCTGTCTATTAACAGTTGATGGGTGTACCATTCAGCCACATGGGGGTGGCAATTTTTCGTTTTTTTCCTGTTTTTGTTTTTGTTGTTTTTTGTTTTTTTGCCGTCTGTACCACCCAGCCCATGTAGCATTGCCCACCTACCCCACACTGTACCCGCCAGCCCACATAGTGCCATGTTGTCTACATACTATGACCCGCCCCATGTAGAACCATCGAACCCGCAATGTATCACCTGGGCCACATAATACGACCGAGCCCACATAGTACCACCACATAGTATGGCCCACCCCATATAGTGCCACCAATCCATCCACATAGTACTACCCAGTTCACATAGTATGACCTGCCCCACACAGTACTACACAACGCACATCCCACAGTTCTTCCCAATCCGCATGACGGTATGAATGACCCGCTCCTCGTGGTATGACCCAATGCCCATAGTATTACCCACGCCTCCTGTACAACCCAACGCCCATAGTATGACCCACGCGTCGTGGTACGACCCAACGCCCATAGTATTACCCACGCGTCGTGGTACGACCCAACGCCCACAGTATTACCCACGCCAGTGACGCCACATAATACCGCTCAGCCCACATCGTACTGCCCACTGTGGCAAGGGCCTAATTGTGCCCTATGTTGGCCATGTGTTTTCTTTTTCTTTATTTCCCTGTGGTCATGTCTGCATTCTTTCTTTTTGTCGGTGGGAGCATGTTATAGTAACACCCAGGCCACGCAGTATGCCTCGCATAATACTGCCCAATGCACATCCCACACAGTACCACCCGGTCCAGAGGGGGAGGGGGAGACGGGGGAGTAGGAGGACGATGGAAGGACGAGAACGCCCTGGCAGAGGAGAAGTGGCAGGAGGAGAACCGAGCGGAGGAGGAGGAGGGGGATGGGGGACGAGGACAGAGAGGAAATGGCAGAGAATGGGAACGAGGAGGAGGAGGAGGAGCAGTGCCCCGCAGGGCATCCACTTGTATACCTTGATGAACTCGAGCACTTTGTAGAAATAACTATTCGTGAATATAACAAGGCTCAAAGAGAAGATGCCCATGCTTACTGTGAATGTGTGGACAACATCTCAAAAAACAACAAACAAAATGAAATAGTGTAACATAATTCAAACTTGCTTTGCCAAAATACTTGAAAAATAATATCATGGAAATTAATGGAAGCATTAACCACCACTACCTTTCACAGGCGAACTCGAAACGCAAATATAACATAATATTAATATGTTAATAACACACACTGCATTCTTCTGAGCCCTGGCGCCAAGGACCAAAATGACCGGTGTCACCAGTGTAAGGAAAATGAGCGATAGCGAACTCCAGTAACCAAACAGCATCATACACATGAGACCAGATAGTCGTGACCTCGAACCAGAAGCAGAATTGCATCACGAGTCCCACCAAATAAGAGCACAGCAAAAGCTCATAAGTGACAATGTTCGAATAGTCTCCTCATCATCAACAAAGAACCAATGTCGACACCCTATCTGGCGCTTGGCGCCCAGACTACAAATGGTAGATCCTATCTAGCCTATCTACAATGCCGCTGATGACGTCAACAGCTCTCCGAAGTACGAGCAGATCTCGGTCAATGCCGTTCGCCTCAAGCACCAGGTATGTCTCTCGCTTCACTCACAACCTCGATCCCCAACTCACAGATGCCACATGCACCCAAGGACCACCATGCGCCCCATTTAGCATACAGCAGCGCAGCTCGGCTATGGCTGCCTGCTCCTTCCAGTCTCGCCCGTGAGCGCGTGAGCGCTGGCCAGCGTTAGCACAGCAGCGCTTGCGCAGCATGCAGCCACTGCCCGAATTACCAATGCGTGGGCAGGCTCTTTCCTAAATGGAAGTGGCCTGCCTGCCTTGCGTGCAGCCTGGCTGCGCTGGGCCCCTGCCCAGAAGCTTCCGGTAGGCCCCGAGAGGCTGAGCCCCAGTCCAAACAACCTGTGGTGGTTGCCCGTGTCCAACTGCCCGCGGCCTGTGGTCGGTCCATGTTGCGAATCTGGCCCAGGGCCTGCCTCAGTTACATTCGAAAAAGGCAGCCTGGGCCTGGGCGCTCTCAACCAACTGGCGATGCGCAACTGCCTGAATTTACCCAGTTGCGTGATGACCCCAAAATTAGGTCTGTAGGCCCTGGGTCGAGCCTGCCCTCAGGGACCGTACAGAAAATAGGGCCCAGTAGGGCAGATCAAGGCCTTGAGCCTCGCACCAGCCAAAAGGAAAAAGAAAGTCGAGCTGTACAAAAGAGGCTCAGAGGTAGTGGTGGTTTGAACGAAAAAAAGGGGAATTTTTTTTCTTACTCTTCTCATTCCAATTGACATGAAGCCCCTTAGGTGCAATTTGGACCCTTGCAATCCTGTGAATTTCTTTTTTCGTTTTGCTGTTTTTTTATAGAAACAGGTCCTTATGGCCCTGGCTCTTTGTCCATCCTTGGAGCGTCAGTCCGGTTCCAATCCACCGGCAAGTGAAAGCTGAATACATGATAAACGCACTCCACAGAGTCCACACTTCCTTCCGTTTTGGCTGAAGGACACCTGGCCAGCATTGATTACTCCAATACGGAAGATTGACTGTCAGATTGCCTGTCCCTCTTTTCTGATTCTGTCATTCTCAACCCTAACTATGTCGTATCAGAGCAAGAGCTATAGGGGTCCAGGAAGACTGACAGCTTTGTCGACCCTTCAAGAATCCTCTCAGACTTGGCTGGGGTCCTGCTTCTAGAAGAAGACTCTTGAAGGCTTGACACCGAATCTTCAGGTGGTGGCCCATTTCTTCCAGCTCAGTCAGTTGTCTCTGATTGTCGCAATTTGACCCTCCAGCAGCCAATTCCTTGCGAATGCATTCCTCTCTAGGTCCAGCCTCTGTGGATGGGTTTTCCCTGAGCTCTTCACTTTTTTTGCCACCTGCATCTGATCTCTGTTTCAGCCATAAGGATAAGTTGGTTCCAAGATGCCTCTTAGTCCACAATATGACCATCGATTGTCATCGAGCATTGTCCACAGCGTGACCTTCCTCAGCAGTAGGAAACAGACTATTGCCGGTCCTTTTAGGTGAGCGGGGATCTGGATGGCCAGTAGGATTGTGAGGAGGGAAGTGGGGGGAGGGATTGTGAAGAGTGAAAACCATAGCTTGGTCGTTCTGGACCAGACCTGGGCGGCAGCAGGGCATTTAATCAGGCAATGCCACGATGGATGAAATCTTCTTCTGTACTATTGGGACACAATCAGCCATTCAAGGTTCCGAAACTTTGTTGGTTTGAGGTTGAGATTCTTCCAAGGGATCTTTGGGGTGGGGTCTTTCGTCCTTAAGCCTAGGTTGTAAGAGCTTGTAATAGCCTTGTATGAAGTTGTATCCATTTTTCGTGGCGCATTCTGTTATGGAGAGTTTCTTTCCTGGGGCCTTTTGTTCCTATTGCCACTCCCTCAGGTCGTATTCTAGATCTTGGTATTTTTGTGCGGTTCAAAGACAGCCCAGAAGTTGGATTTGATCACCCTCACTTTCCTTAGGAGGAAGGCGTCAACTACCACTACCACTGTCTCTAGATCTGATCCCAGTACATCCCATTCCTGGTTCCTACCTCAAACCAGCGGGTAGGATGTGAATTTCGCTTGGAAGTGGCTCCCCTCGATTCTTTTTATGAAACGGAAAACTCTGTTAGGGGGGTCTGTTAGGGCACCGATTTCCAGGTCTTTTTTTTTTTTTTTATTTGGACCATTTCTCGATTTATGCGTGTCATCCTTGCGCAGGGGCCATGCTAATCTTCTCTGTATCCTTCCAATTTTAACGGATGTCCCAAAGGGCATTTCCAGCTCTTTTTTTCGTTGTCCCATATGTGTTTTTTTTCAAATTTTATTGCCCATACTCCTCTCTCTACCCACGAAAGCCATTTGATGTCTTTTGAAGAGCGACCACAGGCTGCCCTCTTCATTGGTCAGCCATTGATTACAGAACAGCAGTTGCCGTAGGACTTCTTCCTTTTGTCCTAGGATTCTGAGGTTTCCTGGAAACGAGTTCGTGCCAGGCTCCGAGAATAGAAGCCCAGTAAGGTTTGGGGATTGCATTAGCGGCAGGTCTGGTGGGGCACAGATTTAATGGATGGCTTGTTCGTGTTTTGCGGCCTGTTCTCTTTGTCCACTATTTTGCCAAGACCTAGAAGGTGCCTTCCATGTTGCCTGGGGTTGTTACAGGCGCCAGTTTTCAGATGCTGTCCAGCACCATTCTGACCAGGGGAGGCAGGCGATGCAGCAGTTTTGTTACCCAGTTCATTTGGAGAGCAATGGCTTCCTGTTTGGGGGTACAGTGCGCCTAAGACTCCTTCCTCTGGTTTCCTGGTTATGTAGTACCAGGCCACCTTCTTAATGCAGGGCTGTTTGGATGGGTCTCCTGTCCACAGGTAGCATCTCACTCTTTTGATGAGTTCTCTTAGAGTCTCGTCGGGGGGAGACCAGATGGAGGACATGTACCACAGAGTGGAGAAGATTGAAGAGCTTATAATTAGAGCCCTGCCTTGGCGTGAAGCAAGTGCTTTTCTGCATGGAACTAACCTCATGATTGCCTTGACCACCAGGTTCTGTCCATGCCAGGCCAGGTTCTGTCCTTGTTTTCCATAATCCCCAGGTATTGCAGGGCCTCCTCCCCAGTGGTCCAGGCAATCTGATCCGGAACACTCTTGCAATGTACTCGAAGATTCAGCGGGCTTTAATAACAAAGTAGAACAATTTTGCGATTTTTCGGGGCCCGGGGTCCTAACCATAGATGCCACAGGCCTTGTCCCTCATAGGCTTTTTTCAATAATTCTTGTTCTTTGAGGGTCACTCTTGTTGTTATCGGTGGGCCCGTGTTTTTCCAGGTACGTCCTAGGTTGTAGGCAGTAGACTTCGGTCTGGTAGAAAAAGAGTCAGGCTGAGTTGTTGAGGGTTCTTTTGTCACTATTTTCAGACAGTGCTGGGCTCCATCTTTATGGTGCTGATGTCGGCCATAGCTGGGGCCGTTCAGCTTTATCAGAGACAGTGCTGGGCTTCAGCCCTCCAGCGCTGGTGGGCGCTTACCTCCTTGTGTGCCATTGGGGGTTTGACAGCTGCCATCGAAGCAACTTTTCTTTGTCTTCTTCGAAGTGGCAAAGTCTCATCTTCATCGTGTTGGCGTTTTTCTTCTCCATCCTGGGAGCTGGGCTCCGCTGCTGAGTGGACATATTACCTGCAATTGTGGTTCTAGGAGAGCAGCCGATTGAGTGTTGGACTCAGGAGGGTTGTGTGGCGACAGGCAGGCTTGACTGGTGGGGTGCTTATCAGCACCATAGCTAGAGGTTGAGGAAGAGGGAGGAAGAAGAAGTCTCCTGTTTACTTTGATGAACTTCTATTTTGATTGGTTCGTGGGTGTTGTAACGTGGTTGAGATTCTTGGAAATGTGTGCCACTGTCACGCTGTGCTGCTGATTGAGATGGAGAGAGACGGTATCAATAAGAATTGACTAAGTTCAATTCTATTTTGGTTTTGTGAGCTTCGGCTGTGTATTCTGTATTTTGGTTTTGGACTGCTCTCTCCAAGTCTACTTGTCATTGCGCATGTGTATGCGAACGTGTGGATGCCATACTGGATTTCACGTCAATCAGGCACATCACATTGGGGGGGGAGGGGGGGTTCTCGGCAAACCACCAGCCTGATGTTGTGGACCAATTGACCTTCATTTCTAAGGGCAGTCTGAATGCTTCCATAGCGCGGACTAGAGCCTGAAACAAGGAGTTGTTGGCCCTGATTCGAGTAGCAGCAAACATTAGTGCTGTCGGGAGTACATAATTGCGGATGATATTGATAAATATTGATAAGATTAACTAACAGTCTGTCAACTTAGGGGTCTTTCCTCAGAAAAGATACCATGACCTCCATAATGAAAAGATACTATGATCTCGATAATGAACAGCAAGATGGGGGGGGCCAAGGGGTCACCTTGGCATACCAATCTTGAGATTTGGTATGGGGCAGATATTATTATGTCGACTTGCAGCACGCCAGATGCATTGTTGTAGAGGATTTTACCCATTTCCTGAATTTCTCCCTCACTACTTACTTGGTCATGCAGTCTTGTAGAAATCCCAGTTAACTTGGTCAAACTTAGCCTTCTCAAAATCAAAGAAAAGTATGGCAGTTTGCATCTGTTTTTCTGCAATCTTCTTCGAGGCCTCGTTGAGGGACATTACATTGTCGAGTATATAGCGACCAGTGATGAATTATAATTGCTTCAATTGTCTAAGAGATTAAGGAGTGCTTCAAAAATCACATGCGAACCATGGCGTTTTTGTACATTTTTACTTTTTTTGCAGGGGGGTGGGATAAGTGGAGAGGAGGGGAAGGAGGGCAACTGGGAAGAATACACAGCTGGAGTTTAACAACACAATTGGAGTTTCCGCGAGAGGTAACAACACAGTTGGAGTTTCTGCGAGAGGTAACAACACAATTGGAGTTTCCGCGAGAGGTAACAAGTTGGATAAGGGAAGCAGTTGGTTAAGGATGAAATGGATTAGCAAGCAGACAGCCATTCCATTGAAGGAGAGGGGCATCTTGGACGACTACCCAATTAATGTTATGGGGAGAGGTAACAAGTTGGATTAGGGAGGGGTAAAGGACAAAGTGGACGAGCACGTGCGAAGTCATTCGATTGAAGGGTCTTGCATTGCAGACTAACCCGGTGATCTTCTCCGAGATCCAACCTCCACCATGCTGTGATCAGCCCATTCTCTATGCAAGGTCCAGCAAAGGAGGTACACTACCAAGCACAGACAAACAATATTTCCAAAAGGCAAAGGAGAAATCAAAGACATTAAGACATAAAACAAAAAACATTGAAAATTCAAAATAGTAGAAGCGAAATGCCTGTACTCTTAAAAACTGCAAAGGGCCCGGCGTGATGCTTCCCATTGGGCCCGGCGAAATTCGGTGCTGCACTGCAGGCCCACAAAGCGGCCCGAGTGAGCTGCCCGCGTGGTGCCAGGAGCAAAGCGCGTGTGCTGGAAAGGTTGTGGGTGTCTGCGAGTGCTGCGGGCCAAGCAGGAGCTGACGAGGGGGAGTGAGCAAAAAGTCCGCGCCGGGTTTTTTCGATGCCGGGAGGGCTCCAAACTGCAAGCGTTATGGTGGAACATCGCGGGGTCACGTGCAGATGTCGGGAACGATTGCCATGAGCTCTCTCTCTCTCTCTCACACACACACACACACACACACACACACACACAC